CTGCGGCGACGGCGGCTGCGGAGGCGGTGGAGGAGGAGACACCGGGGGAGGGACAGACGGCGAGGACTGCGCCAAAGGACTACCAGAGTCAGAAGACTCGTCGACCGGAACGACCGACGGGAGGGGGGTGACGTGAGACACACCAGAGGGGGCCGGACGGGGGGGCGGGGGGGGGGGAGGGCAGGGGCCACCAGGGAGGGAGGAACCAGGAACAGGGGGGGAGTAACCGGGGGACCACGGTGGGGAAAGCGGCGGAAGAAGGAGACGGACTCGTCAAAGGTGACGTCGCGAGAGTGAAAGAAACGGTGAGACGGCGGGTGGTAGAAGTGCCAGTCGGACGCGTCAAGGGGGAAACCGAGGAAGACGCAAGGGAGGGTGCGGGCAGTGAGCTTGTCCGTGCCAGAGGCACGAACGTGAGCAAGGCAGCCCCAGACGTGGAACGCAGACGCGTCACCAGGGGACCCGGTCCACAGAAGGGTCGGCGAAACCTGCGGCCGCTGGGGGTGCGGCCACAGGTTAAGCTGGTGAGCGGCGTAGCGCACGGCGAACGGCCACAGAAAATGGGGTGCACCGGCGTGGATCATGGAGGTGCGAGCCACCTCCATGACCAAACCGATGCGTCGCTCAGCGACCCCATTCTGCTGCGGGGAGTCCGGCAGGGTAAACGTCTGGGTGATGCCCTCCGCACGACAGAAGCGACCAAGGACACCTGAGGCGAACTCGCCACCCCGGTCGGAGTGGAGGCGCAAGGCAGGGAGACCGCGGTGGAGACGAGCAGAGACAAGCCAGGGGATGAGAACGTCAGGCACGTCGGCCTTCCGCTCCAGGGGAAAGACGGTGGTGTAACGTGTGAAGTCGTCGACAAGCACTAGGAAGAAGCGCTCGCGACGCGGCCCATGGACCGGGGCTGGGCCCCAGACGTCCATGTGCAGAGTCTGCAGGGGTGCGGTGGTAGGGGGAAAAGAGGAGGAGTGAGGGGCACGGCGGAGCCGGCCCTCGACACAAGGCGTGCACGGTGGGGCGGGGGATGAGGGAAACTCAGGGAACGAACCGGGGAGACCAAGGACGAGACCGTGCTGGGACATGTGACGCAGACGCGGGAGTGTAGGGTGACCAAGGCGGTGGTGCCAAAGGAGAGTCGGATGAGTGAGGGACCGACAGGAGCACGCAGCAGCAACCTGGGTGGACGCAGCTACCTGGGGGGAAGACCCAGCCGGGGACGTCGCGGTGTCAAGTGTGAACAGGCCGGACACCGGGTCCCGGGGGAAAGTGGTAAGGGGGGCACCAGTGGCGGCCTCGGTACAGACAGCATACCGCTCGTGACCAGGGAACGTAGTGGTGACGCCAAGGTCCTGGAGGCAGCCGACACCAACTAGGTTCCTGGAGAACGAGGGGATATGCAGACCGGTGAGCGAACCTGAAGGAACCGCCGGACAGGGAAGGGAGGTGGAACTGCGGGCAAAGACGGGACCACCGGAGGGGTCAGCAAGAGTAACTGCAGCAGGAACAGGCAGCGGCGTCAGCGTCGTGGAGTCGCGGAAGAAACACCGGGAGGCGCCAGAGTCCAAGGTGAAGGAAAGCGCAGCAGTCGCGCGGGGCGACAGTGAAGCGGTGGAAGCACCGAGGCTAAGCAAAGCAGGAGATCCTACGCCTGACGCAGCAGGGGAGTCTACGCTAGGCACAGCTACACTAGGCAACACGGGGTAATAAGAGGGAAGCACACTAGAGTCATCGGCATACATCACATGCAAGGCTGCTACAATGGCATCCATGTCCAAGTCAAAAATCCGAATGCTACGCCTAAGCAAGCTGTGCCAGTCCGGGAGGTCGGGCGCCGGGCCAAAGCGCTGGCGGAACAGGTCGTCCAGACGACGAAAACAGCGAGGAGTGGAATGACCTATCTTACCGCAAACGAAGCCGCGGCGAGGACCGGTCTGGATCTGGTACTGACAGGGCCCGCCTCCAGAACCACCACCCGGTGCACCACCACGCGCACGACCACCACCAGCTCCAGGCCACCCAGGCGGGAGAGCACTCGCCGGCCTCGTCTGCGGCGGCTGCTGCGGCTGCTGCGGAGGCTGCTGCTGCTGCGGCTGCTGCAACGGTGGAGGCAGCGGGGCAGCTGGACCGGGCAGGGTCCCCACGTCCGCACCGGCACCGGACGACCCGCCTCCACCACTACCCCCACCCGCACCCCCGCCACCTCCGCCGCTCCCAACCTTGGGGCGGCGGCCCTTCCCCGAGCGGGACTGCACTGCAGCAGCAGTCTCAGCCACAGCGACAGAGCCGTCGGAGAAGGTACACTGAGCGGGGGCACAACCCTGAAAGATAGGGACCGGTACTGTACCGCTCGCCTGGGCTATGGAGCGGTGACGAGTCTCTATGGCAGTCAGGGTGTCAACAAAGTCGGTGAGGGTGAGAGCAGCAGGGTGGATGCTAAGGAACTGGTCGCGGGCGGCGGCAAGGCGGTCAGGGAGGCGGGTGGCAAGGAGGTAGAGGGTAGAGGTCATGGGAGGCTGGTGGACTCTAAGCTGTGCATCAGTGCAGGCAGCGCGCCAGGCCTCATCTATCGAGCGCAGGTGGGCAGCGAGGTCAGAGACAGTGGGGAAGGATGCCAGGTCAGGAAAGAGCAGGGGGAGGATCAGGCGACCCACTGAGGCAGCAGGAGGGGTAGAATAGCGCTTGATGACAGCATCGAGGTAGGCCTGGGCGGTAGTAATGGTTCTAAAGCGAGGGCGCTCAAGGGGGGGAGGGCATTGCTAATGGCGAGCTGAGCAAGGGCATCGCGGGAAAGCCAGACAGAGCGGGCAAGGGCAGCAGCGGCAGTGGACTCGCGCTCAGCGGGCGTGGGATCAGCAGGTAGCACAGCAGGGGGGTCAGGGCAGGGGAGCATACCGTCTAGGTGTGCAGAAAGCGGGTGGCCGTCCTGCCGCTGACCAGTGAGGTGGCGGCGAAGGTCAGCCAACCACGCCTCGAACTCCAGAGGCTGACCCTCAGCATCAAAACGAAGCTCAGCAGCCATGAGGGGCAGTGGAGGACAGTGGAGTGCGGTGTAGTGCTGTGCAGTGCGGTGCAGGGCGGTGCAGTGCGGTCGAGTGCGGTGCAGTGCGATGCAGTGCGGTGCAGTGCGGTTCAGTGCGGTGCAGTGCGGTCAGTGCGGTTCAGTGAGGTGCAATGCGGTGCAAGGCGGGGCAGGAAAGTGCAGGAGGGTGCAAAGTGGTGCGGGGAACGGGGGACAGTACCAGGAAGTATGGAGGGCCGGGGCAGGCGCGACGGGGCCGGGCAGGCGCGACGGGGCCGGGCAGGCACGTCGAGGCCGGGCAGGCGCGACGGGGCCGGGCAGGCGCGACGAGGGGCCGGGCGGCTGCGACGGGGCCGGGCGGCAGCGACGAGGCCGGGCGGCTGCGACGGGGCCGGGCGGCTGCGACGGGGCCGGGCGGCTGCGACGGGGCCGGGCGGCTGCGACGGGGCCGGGCGGCAGCGACAAGGCCGGGCGGCAGCTACGAGGCCGGGCGGCAGCGACAGGGCCGGGCGGCAGCTACGAGGCCGGGCGGCAGCGACAGGGCCGGGCGGCAGCGACGGGGCCGGGCAGGACACAGCAGGGCCGGGCGGGGGCGACGGGGCCGGGCGGGCGCGACAGGGGCCGGGCAGCTGCGACAGGGGCAGGGCGGGCGCCACGGGGCCGAGAGGCCGCGACAGGGCCGAGCTGGGGCGACGGGGCCGAGCAGGGGCGACGGGGCCCAGGAGGGTGGATACGGGGCCCAGGGAGGAGCGCGGCAGGGCCCAGGAGGGGCGCAACAGGCCCAGGAGGGGCGCTACGGGCCCAGGAGGGGCGCAATGGGGGCCCAGGAGGGGCGCGGCGGGGCCCAGGAGGGGCGCAATGGGGGCCCAGGAGGGGCGCTACGGGCCCAGGAGGGGCACTACGGGCCTAGGAGGGGCGCGACGGGGCCTGGGAGGGGCACGACGGGGCCCAGGAGGGGCGCTACAGGGCCCAGGGAGGGCGCGACGGGTCCCAGTAGGGGCGCTACGGAGCCCAGGAGGGGCGCGACGGGGCCTGGGAGGGGCGTTACGAAGCCCAGGAGGGGCGCTACGAAGCCCAGGAGGGGCGCGACGAGGCCCAGGAGGGGCGCTACGGGGCGCTACGGGGCCTGTGAGGAGCGCGACGGGGCCCAGGAGGGGCGCTAAGGGGCGCGACGGGGCCCTGGAGGGGCGCTACGGGGCCCAGGAGGGGCGCGAAGGGGCGCGACGGGGCCCTGGAGGGGCGCTACGGGGCCCAGGAGGGGCGCTAGGGGGCGCGACGGGGCCCTGGAGGGGCGCTACAGAGCCCTGGAGGGGCGCGACGGGGGCCTGGAGGGGCGTTACGAAGCCCTGGAAGGGGGGCGCGACGGGGCCTGGAGGGGCGCTACGAGGCCCTGGAAGGGGCGCGACGGGGCTAGGGGGAGGGGTCGCGACTGGGCTCAGGAGGGGCGAGGCGAGGCTAGGAGACGCGACGGGAGGAGCGGAAGCGGTAGGTGGGGGGGGGGGGGGGGGGTCGAAACCTACTCGTGATACCATATCAAACCTAGAATTGAATAATGTGAGAGAGAGAGTACACAAACATATACCTAAATGTTGTACTCTCTAGAAGGTGACCCTATACAGTCTATACGAACATGATAACTACACATGTTTGACACTAATAGCTACAGAGAAGTACACGCCTGGCATCCATAATAACCATTTGCTGTTGTTTTTCAACCAAACCTTTTTTTCATGTTGAGATTTGTAGAAAACCCATGGCATTGTTCTCGTTTATACATTTCTCATCAAAATCCCCTAATTGCTTCAAATCATGTTCACGCTCATATCCAATCTGAAAAACAATTTCACATAGCTTACCTTACAAACGAACTCTCTTACCTATTTATTTGTTGAATTGCTCTTTCATTTCAGGATTCTATCAAGCTGCTACGCAACCCCAACGACGCATTGGCGTCGAGCCATAGTTTCTTCTCGCCATCATTCTCTCCCTTCTCATCCGTCGCACCATTTCAACGCCGCTTTCCTTGGAAATAGATGGACGGTCCTCACACCGTCCTTAGCATCGCCGCACCCTCGTTAGGCATAGGGTTAGGTCGGTAGGGCAGCGGCGAACCACCCTAACATGAACCACCAGATCCCCCCCTCGGAGCTGGCGGAGCTGGCGGTGGACGCGGACTACCTGCGCAAGGTGGGCGCCTTCATCCGCCAGCGCCGCCTCGACCTGCTCGGCCCCGCCAACATCGCGCCCGTCTCCGCCGTGCAGGTCGCTCCGCCGCGCCACCCACCAACCGCTGCTGTACCGCCCTCCCTTGCTGGGCCCGCCGAATCCGCTGCATATGCCGCATCCGCCGCTCGTGTCGGCGCCTCCCATGCTTCTTCCGCTCAAGTCGCCGTCCCCCATGCATCCGCCACTCAAGTCGCCGTCCCCCATGCATCCGCCACTCAAGTCGCCGTCCCCCATGCATCCGCCGCTGTTGCCACCGGGGTGTCCCTGACCGCCAGTGCGGCCGGCCTACCCGCCGCCGAGTCAACCGCGCCTCCGCGTCTCGCGCGCCCCCCGTCGCGCGCAGATGCCATCGGGATTGCCGCGGCTGACGGCGCTTCCTCCGCCGTTGGATCGTCGACGGGGCCGGCGATCAACGGTGCGCCGGCGGTTGCGCTTGACGCAGGCAATCGGAGGGCCAACGGCAGCGACGGCGGGGACACGACGTCTGAGAGGGGCGTCACTGCTGCTGCAGCGCCTAGAGTCATACCGCCTACAGTCATACCGCCTACAGTCATACCGCCTACAGGTACACCGCCTTCAGTGATTGTGCCTTCAGCGGCTGCTTCTCCTGCTCCTGCACCCGCCAACGCTCCCCAGCCTGCCATCGCTGTTGCTCCTCACCTTTCCACGCTTGCAGCGCCTTCAACCAACCCCACCGTGAATACTCTCGCCTCTGCCACGTCGGCAGCGAATCCCGTTGTGACAGCTGTCCCTACTGGTGGCGCGGATGCAGCTGCCGCGTCCGCCGCCCCCGAGCCCTCTGCTGCTGCAGCCCTCCGTGCCCTTGCGCCGTCGCTGCCTGTTGCTGCCACAACGAGTCTTGAGGCACCCCAACGCACGCCTGTTGCTGCCACTGCTAGTACAGCCGCGCAGCAGCAGCAGGGCGCGCAAGCGCCGCACATGGCGGGCGACCGAGACGCGCACAGGCAGGAAGGACGTCAGGGGGGGCGGCAGGGAGGGTTGCATGGAGATGGGAAGGAGCATGCAGGGCGGGGTGATTCTAACGGGAGTGCTTCTAAAGGGGGGGAGAAGGGGCTTGGGACTTCTGAGGATAGAAGGGGAGGCGAGGGTGGAGAGGGGGAGGAGGATGAGGGGAGTGATGAGGGGGATGGGGGGGGGAGGAGGGGAAGCGGGCGGAGGGGTGGGGGAGGGAGCGGGGGAGGAAGAGGGGGCGGAGGTAACAGGAGGGGAGGGGGAGGCGGAGGGGCGGGAGGGTCGTCTGCAGGGGGGGGGCGGGGAGGGGGAAGCAGAGGACAGGGGGGGAGAGGAGGAGGAAGTGGTGGAGGGGGGAGAGGAGGCGGGTGGAGGGGAGGAGGGGGGAGAAGGGGGGGAGGGAGTAGGTCGGCGGATGGGGGAACAGCACCAGGGGCGTCGGGGGAAGAGGAAGAGCAGTGGGACGAGTGTGGAGGTGATGGGGAGGGGCAGGAAGGGGAGTGGGGGACTGGGGGGGAGATGGCAGCGGAGGTCGAGGAGAGGGAGCGCACGGACGGGGGCGCTGATGGGCAGAAGCAGGGGGAAACAGGTGGCGGCGCAGCGGGTGGAGGGGAGAGGGAAGAGGGAGAAGAGCGGGAGGAGAGGGGGGCAGGTGGGAGTGAAGGGCATGAGAGGCAGAGGCACGAGCGTGAGGAGCCGAGGGAGGAGGGGCACAGGGAGGAAGCGGAGAGGGAGGAAGCGGAGAGGGAGGGTGAGGAGCCATTTTTGCGAGAGCAGGAATGTGCCGAGGGAATCGGTTCGGGAAACGGGGGAGGTGGAGAGAGCGAGGATGCGGAGTCGGGAGTTGTGAGGGAAGAAGTGGTGGGACGAGGGCAGGTGGTGGAGGAGGGCAGTGCGAGGGAGGGCGTAGACGAGGAGGGGGAAATAGATGAGAAGGGGGCGGAGAGAGGCGAGAAGAGGGACGGACGAGAAGGCGAGGAGCAAGAGGAAGGGGGAGAAAGGGAGCAAGGGGAGAACAGAGCGGAGGCAGAGCAAAGAAGGAGCGGGAACGAGGGAGGGGAAGGGAGTGAGGGATGGGAAGGGAAGGAGAGACAGGGTGGGAAGGACAAGGGAGAAAGGGCGCAGGAGAGGGAAGGAGAGTATGCGGCAGGGACAACAGGCAGCAGCATGTATGGTGGCGTGAGTGGTAGTGCGAGTGCAGCTGCGAGCGGCATGTGTGAGGAGGATGAGGCAGGTGCTGTGAGGAGCGGAGGCGCACATGTGGCCTTGGCTTCTGCTGCTTCTCTCCCAGAGGCTGCTGCTGCTGCCACTCCGCCTGCTGCTTCTCCTGCTGCTCCTGCTTCTGCTCCCGTTGCTGCTCCCGTTGCTGCTCCTGTTCCTGCTGCTGTTGCTGTTGCTCCTGCTGCTCCTGCTCCTGCTCCTGCTCTTGCTGCTCCTGCTGCTGCAGTGCTAGCAGCATCTGCAGCAGCCCCTGCTGCCATGGCCATCGGTGGAAGCACCGTGAGTGGTGGGGCGGGGGGCTTGCAGCAGAGCAGTGCAGAGAGCGGCACACAGTGCGCTCCTGCTGAGCCTGAGGCGCGTGAGGAGCAGCATGCAGGCACAGCACCAGCGACAGCACCAGCGACAGCACCGCACACGCACACACTCGTACGAGCAGCGGACTGGCGTCCCCCCACCAGCCTGGAATCTCCTTCCGTCCTTCCAGCAGCACCCACTGCTGCTGCCGTCCCTCCTCCTGCTGCCATCGTGTCACTCTCCCCTGCTGCCTCCCCTCCCACCGCCAACCCTCCATGCACCCCTGAACCTCCATGCCACTCCACCTCTCCCTGGCCCCCCCCACCCGCGACTCTCGTCCCTGTGGACGCGTCTCAGCACCTCACTCTCTCCCCCGCTGCAAGCACGGCACCTGGCGCCCCTCCCTCCCCTGCCGTGCCACCGGCTGCCCTTCCAGACAGCATTCCAGAAGCAGAGAAGGGCATTCTAGGGCGGGGCCACGGGCCCCCTCTGCCCCTTCCACTGCCTCTTCCCCTGCCCCTTCCGGTCACGGGCCCGCTGCAGTACGGGCCTGGGAATTGGCACGGGGTTGCGCCTGATGCTGCATGGCTGAGCATGCCTGCTGGCATGCCCATGCTGGGAGGGGACGCCATGCCCATGCATGCGCCCAGTCCAGCCATGGGGTTGGGCATGGAGGCGGGAATGGGGATGGGTAGGGAGGCATGCAAGGGTGTGCGTGTGGGCATGGACATGGGAACGGAGGGGGTTGGTGGTACCGCGTGGGAGGGGTGGGGAGGGAGTGGATGTGCCGAGGGCACGGATGGTGGGGTGGGCGCAAAGGCAGGGGAGGAGGAAGGCGCAGGGTGGGTGGGAGCGGCGGCATTGGGTGCAGGGGGTGGGAAGGGGGGTAGTGTGGGGGGGAGGGGAGGCCGAGGAGGAGGAGGAGGGGGTAGTGGTGGGAAGAGAGGGGGGAGGGGATCAGGATCAGGATCCGCCGAGTATGCACCGGTCCACGTGTACTCGTTTGAGCAGCTCAAGGAGATCGGCCTGCAGTCCGTCCAGTACCAGCGTGACACGTGGCGCACCATGAATGGCAGCACGCAGCTGGCCCTGGAGGAGCTCATGCGAGATGTGACTAGAGGGGGGGCGGGGGGAGGGGGAGGGGGAGGAGGAGGGGGGGGAGGAGGGGGAGGGTCTGGGGAGAAGGGATCAAGGCGCAAGGGGCGGAAGAATGCAGGGGGGCAGGAGCAGAGTGGGAGGGGGGGAAGGGGCCGGGGGGGTGTGCATGGGGAGGGCAGCAGCAGCGGCGGCAGTATCTGGGGCGGGCAGAGTGTGCAGGTGGGAGGCGATGCGAGGACAGGCACGGAGACCCACATGGCTGGCTTGGCAGCTGACGCCAGAGGCTATGCCACCACTGCTGCCGCTGCTGCTGCTGCTGCAACAATGTGTGCTGCCAGCAGTTGCAAGAGTGCTGACGGTGCTGCCAGCCCGACAGATGCGAATGATGCTTCCACTGCTGGGGATGCTGACACTGGCGCCACTGCCAGGTTTGCGGGTGATGTCACTGCCACTGCTGCAGCACCTTCCGCACAAGACACCGGAGGAGAGGTGAGCGAGGCAGGGCAAACTGCTGCTGCTGGTGCTGGTGCTGCTGGTGGTGGTGCGGAGAGCACAGCTGGTGGTGCGATAGGCAAGGAGGAGCCGGGGCAGCAGATGCGTGAGGAGAGAAGCTTGCCTGATACCAGTGCTTGCGCTGCTGCTGCTGCTGCTGCTGGTACCTTGGGTGGCAGCGGGGATGGCATGGATAAGTCTGGAGCGAGTGACTTGCACCGTCAGCACCAGGAAACGCAGGGGGTGTATGAAGAGGAAGAGGAGGAATTCGAGGAGGAGGATGAGGAGGTGGAGGCACTGCAGCCGCGGGCTCTGCCAGTATATGGCGAACCTGACTTCTCCCAGCCACACCCCCTCGATGGTCTCGAGTACTTGCGCCGAGTCAGGTGATGACTGCTCAGCATGGACTTTCAGGTGTAGGTTCAGGATTCAGGGGTTGACGGTTTAGGAAGTAGGCTCTAGGCTTTGGGTTAAGACATTGAGTTATCACTGGATGTCTCGAGTCAGGTGACAATTCTTGCGGTTACGGGTTGAGGGATTAAAGTTCAGAGTTTAGGGATTGGGGTTAACCTACCAGCCACTCCCATGCATTGGGCTCGAGTACCTGCACCCGTTGTGTGTGCCCAAGGTGGTTCAGGGTCAAGGTTTGGGCTGGTTACATGACAGTTTGGGGTAGGAGTCCAGGTGATGCGCTCTTGGAGCCAGCTAGGAGCTCTTCTTTTACCGCTTTCTTTGCCTGAGCATTCACCCTCATCTGACTCACATACTGTGGCTTCCCTCTTCTAATCGCTGTCCCTCCGCTGAACGTCCCCCCCCCTCCCCCCGTCCCAGGTGGGAAAGGGAACGCGTGCCAAAAGTGGTGGTCGCAGCAGCCAATGACAAGGCGCCACCTGGCAGCAACGCCAACAGCAGCAGCAGCAACAGCAACAGCAACAGCACCAGCAGCAGCAGTGAGCCCGTGGTCTTGGCTGCGCGCTACCTGCCTCGAGTGGCCGCTGTGCCTGCATGCCCTGCGCTGCTGCTGCCCTCCCACGAGTGGCGCTTCTTCCTGCAGGCTGCCTTCGGCTACCTGCGCCAGGTGAGGCGCCGCAGGCTGTGTTTCCCTTCCTACTCGTCACACATGATATGCGTTCTTCTCTCCTTTCAACGAGGTATGGATTATATCTTTCTATCTGCCTGTTTTCAGAGTGGGTGAGTGTTGCCATGTGTGGCAACGCATGTCACATGGCAGGCATCTCTCGGCTAACACAGCCTGCTACAGACCCCATCCTGTGCACCTTCAAAGTCTTTTCCTCCCTCAAGTAGTTGCCCAACTCACTGCTTCTGCTCGTACTCTTTGCCTACCCCTCCCTCCATCCCGCCCTCCTCCTCGCACCCCCCTCGTGCTGCCATTTCCTCCACCCATCCTTCACAGAGCCTGGAAGGCGTCGACGAATCGCGTGTCGCCATGTGTCACGGCATGCCCATCCCGTCCCACCGTGACCTGCACGCGTGGCACTCCTACTGCTTTGGGCGGGGCTTGCCGTCCAGTGGGGCAGAGGAGGGAGAGGGGGGCGGGGTGGGTAGAGTTAAGGCGAAGAGGCGAGCGGGAAGGAAGGATGGTGGCACGGCGGAGGGAGGAGATGCGTGCAGCGAGGCAAGCCAGGGAGAGGGGAGCCAAGGGGAGAGGAGTCTGGCGGGAGGAGAAGCGGATGGGGAGGATGAGGAGAGGGATGTGGTGGGGGAGGAGGAGGGGAGTCAGTGGGAAGAGGTGGTGGGGGGCGAAGGAGGAGAGGAGGAGATGGGTGTTGAAAGAAGGGAGAGTGTAGAGGAGGATGCAGGGGAGGGGGGGGCGGAGGAGGGAGGTTGGGATGGTAGTGATGTGGTAGCAGAGGACGAATGGACGGAGGGGCTGGGTGAGACGAAAAGTGAGAATGTGGAGAAGGGTGAAGTGGAGGAGCATGAAGGGGGAGTTGAAGAGGAGGCAAAAGGTGCGAGTGTGAGAAATGGTGGGGGGGAGGCAAGGGTGGTGAGTGTGAGGGAGGAGTCAGGTGGTGATGCTGCAACCAGCGTTCATGGTGGTCTTACTGATGCTGCCACGCCTCCCGCTGTTTGCTGCTCCACACCTGGCATTGAATGTGCCACTCCTTGTGACAGTGCACCTGGCGAGGGTGAGAGAGAGCGGGAAAACCAGGAAGAGGGAGGAAGGGAGGGCGAGTGGCGAGGAGAGGGAAAGCAGCCCCCCAGAGGCCTTGCGCTGCTGCTGCCGTGTGCGAGAGGGCGCAAGCATGACCTCACTGAAGGCCGCTCGGAAGGGCTGACTGACACGGGGCTGCGTGGCCAGCACGAGGTCCCAGAAGGAACGTCTGGCGCAGAGGAGCTGTGTGTGGCGGGCTGCAGTGGCAGGGAGGGGTGCAGCACAGGGCAGGAGGCACTGAAAGGCGCAGGGGAGGGTGAGGGGGGAGGAGCGGAAGGGGAGAAGGAGAAAGGAATGCAGGGAATGAGGGAGGATGGGGAGAGGGTGGTTGCAGGAGGGGTGGTAGCAGAGGACGTTGGTGTGAAGGATGTGATGGGAGGGGGCGCTGCAGGTGGGAGGTGCGATGGATCCAGTGAAGATACGGGGTTGACACCCGATGCTGATGCTGCCAGTGTTGGTGCTGTAGCCGCTGATGCTACAGCCGCTCATGCTACAGCCGTCGATGCTACAGCTGCCGATGCTACAGCTGCCGATGCTACAGCTGGTGATGCCACGGCCGCTGACGCTACAGATGCTGATGCTACATTGGCTGAGGCTGAGGATAACAGTATGGCTGACGTCAGTGCTGATTTCAGTGCTGATGTAGATGTTGATTTGGATGCTGATGATGACGTGGACATGGAAGATGAACTCGAGGTGGATGCTGATGTGGAGGCAGCACTGGATGAGATGATCAACTACTCCGGTCCCCTGCCTCTGTGGCTACCGCCTGATGATGAAAGCAGTAACCTAGAACATGCTGCCGCTGATGGCTCCCACATGCATGCACATGCACAGCCATCCATGCCCGTGCCATGGCCATCAGATGCTGACGTGGCAGCCATGGAGTGCGTGCTCCCAGGCCTGGCCAATCAGCTCGCTCCATTACTCGGCACGGTGCTGCACTGCGACGCTATTGGCCGAGCCACCATGCTGCGTGCCCACGTGGACTGGGCCATGGGCCAATCAGCAGTGGACACGTGGCGTGGGCTGTGGCTGGTGGCGTGGGCGGCAGGGGTGGATGAGCCAATAGAGGCGGAGACTGCAGCAGCGCTGAGGGAGCTGCTAAGGAAGTGCGCTCGGCTGAGGGCTTCATTACAGTCACAGGAGGATGAGGGGCTGGCAATGCTGAATGTGCTTATAGAGATTGCAGGGGGGTACTTCAAGCAGGGGTCCAAGGAGGAGATGGAGCAGGCTGTATGGGAAAAGGGAGGTTCTGAAGGGGAAGGATTGGCATGGGAAGGAGCGGATCAGGGAGTGGAGGAAGGGTCTGGTGGAGAGGGCGCACGAAGGGATCAGTTCATGTGGTGGATGCAGGGGTTGTTGAGGTGAGCAAGGAGGTAGAGGCTGTGGTGTAGCTGCCTGTGGTATAGCTGTTGGGGGGGTGAGGCGATTGTTGGATGGTGGTACTGACGTCCTTGTAAGATGCAGACCAGGAGTGAGTCATGGCACTTGTCTTTTACCAAACCCATTGCAAGGAGGCACCATGTACCAACTGTCAAATGGGCTAATCATGGCGAGGGTGTCATCGAGTGGCTAAATTGAATTCGGACCACTCGATCTGAAAAAAGTTGCCGTTAGCGATCAAACAAGCTGAATTGAATGCGGTTTGGTGAAGCTTGTTTGTAGATGAAGTGGAGTGGACGTTGGTTGAAAATCAAAACCCTTGTACCGTATGTTCTAAGTTGTTATGAGTGCGAGGCGAGAGTGACGGCTGGAGAATTACTGAATAGCGAGTGCAAGGAAAACCGAATCTACAGAATGACGAAGGCACGTGGCTAAAACAGGGCTCGGTCGAAACTAGGGTGAGAACCTTGGGACGTGAGGTGGCTCGGAAGGGTGGCGAGGGTGTCGGAATGCGATTCGGGGTGGTTTGGGCTGGCAATTGTAATTCCTTACATAAGTTTACTTCTGTGACGAACGCCCTTCGTCGGGTAGCAGTGTCAAACATATTTGTGTATGTTACTATAGCCTAGATAGGGGCATGCCTTGAGAGTACAGCACATTAGGTCAAAACTACCGTGTACATTCCTTTCTAATCTATTATGCAATTCTAAGATGGTATCAGCTTAGGTTAGGTCCGCCCACCAGCTTCCACCCTAGCCCTAGCCTTAGCGCCCCGCTGGCCTTAGCACCCCGCTGGCCTTAGTGCCCTGCTGGCCTTAGCGGCCCGCTCGCCTTAGCGCCCCGCAGGCCTTGGCGCCCCGCTGGCCGTCCCCTTCGCGCCCTGCCAGGCCCTTCGCGCCCCGCCAGGCCCTTTCGCGCCCCGCCAGGCCCTTTCGCGCTCCGCCAGGCCCTTTCGCGCCCCGCCAGCCCTTTCGCGCCCCGCCAGGCCCTTTGCGCCCCGCCAGGCCCTTTCGCGTCCCGCCGGCCCCTCGCGCCCCGCTGGCCGTTTCGCGCCCCGCCAGCCCTTTCGTGCCCCGCCGGCCCTGTCGCGCCCCACCGGCCCCTTGCGGCCTGCTGGTTGTTTCGTGCCCCGCCAGCCCCTCCCGCCCCACCGGCCCTGTCACGCCCTGCCGGCCCCTCCAGCCCCGCTGGTCGTTTCGCGCCCCGCCAGCCCTCTCGCGCCCCACCGGCCCCTCACGCCCCGCTGGCCGTTTCGCGCCCCGCCAGCCCCTCGCGCCCCACTGGCCGTTCCGCGCCCCGTCAGCCCTATCGAGCTCCACTGGCCCTTTGTGCCCCGCCAGCCCCTTCGCGCCCCAGCTGGCCCGTTGCGCCCTGTTGGCTCCTTCCGTGCGCTGCTAGCCCTTTGAGCCCCGCCCGGCCTTACGCGCCTTCACCGGCCGGTGCGCCCCGCTTACCTCAGTCGTGTTCCCTCCTTCCTTTCTGCCGTGGAGCCGTGCCGTAGTGCCGCCGAGTCCTCGTGCCACCGTGCCGCTGTGCCACCGTGTCGCTGTGCCGCCGTGCCTCCGTGGCGTCGGGTCGCTGAGGACGTACAATGGCGGACTCTGTACTCCGCCTGGACCCGGAGGGGCATGCGCTCGACTTCGCTGCCTGGCTTGTCGATCTCCGCCGTCACCTCACAGATCAGTGCCAGGATGGGCACTCCCTGGCTGTGCATGTTGATGGCTTGCTTCCCCGCCCTTCTGCGTCTGATCCCCTCCCTGCTGACCACACCACTGCTCAGCGTGAGACCTTTTCTGTTGCTGCGCTTGCCCGCGCTGTCTGGGATTCGCGCGATGCCGTAACGCAGCTTGCCATTACTCATGCTCTTCCCCTGTCTGAGCGTCCGCGCTTTACTGCTGTCGCGAACGCCAAGGAATTCTTAAATGCCGTAGTTGCGCGGTACTCCACGCCCGCCTCCGCCTCTGCTAGCCGCCTGATCCTCCCCATGTTGTTCCCTGATCTCGCCGCCTTCCTCACTGTAGCTGACCTAACCACTCACCTCCGTGCACTAGAGGCTAGCTACCGTGTCGCTAGTACGGAGGCCCAGGTTACTGCCTTCCCCCTGCCATTCTGCGCTACCCTGTACCTCATTGCCATGTGCCTTCCGGACCGCTTAGCCACTGCCCGCGACCACTTCCTTAGTCAGCACCCAGATGACCTTACCCTTACCGCCTTTGTCACTGCCCTGTCTGAGATAGAGACTCGCCAGCGCACTATCGCCCAGTCAAGTGGTACTAAGGCAATCCCTATCTTTCAGGGCTGTGCGCTCTCCCAGTGCACAAACACACTGACGTTTCTGCCACAGTCGCCGCGACCGCCCCTGTCGCTGAGACCGCAGCTGCGGCCTTGGCGCAGCCGCGCCAACGTCGGGGCCGCCGGCCCAAGGGGGGGCGTGGCAGTTTGGGTGGTGTGGGTGGTGGGGGTGGTGGAGGTGCCAGTGGGGACAGTGGGTCCGACGAGGGGACCAGGGCTGGTGCCCAGGAGCAGCAGCAGCAATAGTAGCCGCAGCAGCAGCAGTCGCAGCAGTAGCAGTCGCAACAGCAGCAGCAGCCGCAGCAGCAGCAGCAGCAGCAGTCATGGGCCCGCCTCCCACCGAGGTGGCCAGGTGCCTCTAGTTGTGGTTGCCGTGTTGACGGCCCTCCCAGCTCAGCGTCGGCCGGCAGCTTCGGCGCTGGGGGCTGCCAGTACCAGCTCCAGACCGCCCTCCTCCGCGGCATTGTGTGACGTGGCCCGCACCCGACCGCCCATTGTTTCTGCCGCCTCGACGACCTCTTTCGTCGCCGCTTCGGCCCGGGCCCGGACCTCCCTGACTGGGCAAGTGTGGTGCACCACGGTGTGCCTGTCTTTGAGTTAGATATGGATCAGATTTGTTCTGCCCGGCATTCCCTGTATGCTGATGCTTCTAGTGTGCCCGGATCCTATTACCCTCTATTGCCTAGTCTAGGTATGTTTCATGTCTGTAGTACAGACTCCCTTGCTGCGTCAGGCGTAGGACCTTCTGTCATGTTTAGCTTAGGCTCCACACTCGCTCCTCCACCGACCGCAGCTTTTGATTCGCTCTTCTTTACGCTTGACTCTGGCGCGTCTACCTGCTTCTTCCGTGACCACGCTGAGTAGACGCCGCTTTCAGCGCCTGCTGCTGACGCCCTTGCTGACCCTTCCTCCAGTCCTGTTGTTGCCCGTAGCTACACTACCCTTCCCTATCCAGCGGCTCCCTCGCGTTCTCTTATAGGCCTGCACATCCCTTCGTTCTCCAGGAACTTAGTTGGTGTCAGCTGTCCTCAGGACCTCGGCGTCACCTCTACGTTCCTTGGTTACGAGCAGTACATTGTCTGTACCGAGGCCGCCTCAGGTGCCCCCCTTGCGATGTTCCTCCGGGACCCGGTGTCTGGCCTGTTTACACTGGGCACTCTTCCCCCCTGGTTAGCGCGTCCTCTCCGGGTCCTGTGTCTACCCAGGTCGCTGCGGCTTGCTCGTGTCGGTCGCTCCATCACCTGTCGCTTCTATGGCACCACCACCTAGGTCACCCGCATTCCCGCGTCTGCGTTACATATCTCAGCATGGTCTCGTCCTAGGTCTCGTACCTCCATGAACTATGCCGGTGCACCCATTTTCTGTGGCACTACTTTTTGGGGATCTGCGGCACTATTTGGGCTCGGAGATCTCTCATGACCGTGCCGTTAGCACGATCACCCTCTCCCAGCCCCATATGGTGCAGCAGATCCTCTGGAGGTCCAGTCTCCAGTTCTCCTCAGCACAACCCACCCCTCTGCCTGTGGATCACAAGCACTCTGCTCCTGTTGCAACTGAGCCGGCCGAGCCCAGTGGTCCATACGCAGACCTGGTGGGGTGCATTGTGTACCTGATGATGTGCACTCGACCAGATCTACCGTACCCTTGCTCGCTTTGTTGCGACAGTTAGGAACCGACCTGTTCACTAGTCGGCTGTCAAGAGGGTGATGCGATATCTGGCGATTATATCAGGGTTGGATCTTGTACTAAGAGGAAAAGAGTCAGTGCTGCTCATGGACACACAGACGCGTCTTGAGCTAATGACTTGGAGATGCTCAGGTCCTTTCAGGGCTACTGTTTTAGTCTTGGTTCTATTGCAGTCTCGTGGAGGTCCACTAGGTCGTCGTCTGTAGCTCAGTCCAGTTGTGAGGCAAAGTTCTACGCAGGGGCCATGGCCGCTCAGGAGCTCCGTTGGCTGACGTTCTGGCTCACCGACTTAGGTGAGCAGCATAGCTCTACCCCGGTCCTGTTTGCTGATAACAGGGCCATGATCCTCCTATGTCAGGAGGCTCAACTTGAGGGCAGGGCGAAGCACATCCAGCTGCGGTACTTCTTGCTGCGTGAGTTGCGGCAGCACGGTCAGGCTCGTGCAGTACAGGAATAACTGTATTCAATGTTAGGCTTGTTATCAAATAACTTGTTTTTAACTATGTTGTAAGCATGTATCTGACCAAAAATCATTCGTGGCATCAACTGTTGGTGGTTTAGGGTTCTGAAAAATGTGTTGGTAGCTGCCAATATCGAAATACTGTAGCAGTAACAAGTGCACTAAAAAAGCCACAACGGTCCATGCGGACACTTACTTCCTGCCGAGACTCTAGATCCATTTCGACCTTGTATTTCGCCCTCTGTTTAGGGTAGCCTTCGAGATCTAGCCCACAGAACGCCGAGTATCACAATAGGATGCACCCTATTAACTCACGCATTAGAGAGAATTACGACCCTATTGCGCCAGGGTCTAAGCATTCGTAAAATCACCAGCACGTTAGACATATGCAAGAGTATAGTGCAGAAATATGCAGTTGCTGAAGAGCGACCAGGCCGGACTGCTTCAGCGCGTTCTGAACTGTTCGCGGGCACACCTTGATGCCCTACTCCGATTCGAGCTGCTTTGCCGCCTCGAAACACGTGTTCGCGGCGCTAGAAGTCACGGTACACACGGGACAGATTGGATTTCGCAATGGCCCACCTGAATTGGACGATCGAAGACTGGAAGTGGGTGATATGGTCCAACGAGACCAAGATCAACCACTTCTGCTGTGCAGGCACGGCCCTTCAAGGGCATCAGGTGAAATAGTATGTGAAGTATGGGGGCGGATCCTTAATGGTATGGGGCTGTATGTCCTATGATGGGCCTGGGTTCATGTGTAAAATTGAGGGGCGCATGGATGGGCAGCTGTACCACTCGATCCTGCAAGACGAGCTTTCTCAAATGATTGATTATAACTCTCTGACTGCATTTGATGTGGTTTTCCAGCATGATAATGATCCAACGCACAAGAGTAGACTTGTGCAGGAGTTCCCCTCTAAGTAGCGATACGCAGTCCTGCGGTGGCCTTCCTCCTCCCCTGACCTTAATCCCATTGAACACCTTTGGGCTCACCTCAAACGTGAGCTTGTCATGTAT